AACTTACTGTGGTGTCGATTCACGAAATACCGACGGGTCCATCTGCAGATATGGCGAAAGCTGTTTTTCAAACGGTACACCAGCATGCTTCAGCTGATCCAGTGCAAAAACCGGGTATTTATCGAAGCCGATTTTGCTAGCTGTATCCGTGCCCATCGTACTAGCAGCACCACCAGTACTACTAAAATCGATGCCAGGCATTGCTGCATCCGTCATATCGGTCATCGATGTGGACTGCTGTAACGGTGCGGTGGCCTGTGAAGTCGAATCCGATGAGCTGCTGCTGCTGCTGAACGGCCAAACCATTTTTCAAAGTGTTCTAAAATATGCAAAGCGTTTTAAAATGCCACGAAAAAGCAAACTCATGGGAAATCCTTCTTTTTTTCGCCCAAAATTAATGTTAGTTTAAAAGTGGATGCGCAATCCCTTCTTTTCAAAAAAGTTACCCAAAACTGATGTAAACAAAGACGGATAATGCAGTATTACAAATGAAAATAATTGGCCAACGCACGAGTTGCCCTTGCAAAGATGCGTTTTTTGCATAGCTCCTCGCAGATTTTTGTCGCTAACAGCACTGGTTTTTCTGGCAGATGCTTCTAACTAAAAGAATTTCAGACTGGCCGCCAGGACTGTCAGGAAAAAAAGCCACGAAAAAGCAAACTCGTGAGAAATCCTTTTTTTTTTTTCGCCCAAAATTAACGTTAGTTTGAAACCTGGACGTGCAATCCCTCCTTTTCAAAAAAGTTACCCAAAACTGATGTCAACACTTATTACGATGAAATGATAGATAATCAAAACTGTATGAATGCGGACACTGAAATAGGCCAGAAGAATTGTACTCACGCATCATGCGTAAGGTGATATTTTAAGATGCAGTCTCTGTGTGTGTGTTTCATCCCTTAGCTGTAAACACAGACCGGACTTTGCATGAGGGTAAGAGTGGGAATCATCAGTACACCTCCTACCCCCATGTATTGAAAGGACACGTAACTAGTTTGCAAGATATGAAAGAATAAATGGCAACGCGCACCAGACTAGCCGGTGCGATCATGCGTTTTGTGCAATTCAGCC